TTCTCAAACTATATTAAAGTAGAGAAATCTATATAAAATAATAATTATTAAATAAAAAATAATTTTAATATTAAAAAATCTATCATTTATTTAATAATTTTAATTATACAATTTAATATAATTCAAATTATAAAATACTCTATTTTTTTTAATACTAAGCAATACCTTTCTTTCTTTGAAGTGAAATTTTGGAAACAAAAACGATTTTTATTATGGGGTTTCTATTGATGCAGCCTCATGGAGATAGGTACTGACAACAGGAACTGGACAAATGCATGTGACTTAACTATTAAAATAAGCCAAGCTGGAAAAGAAGCTTCTTCAACAGAAAAAAAAAATGTAAAATAATTGTGGAACGGAATGGTAGAACCGTAGAAGTGTAGAAGCTGCCCCAATTTCTGAGAATTTTTCCTTCTTTATGCCAAGAGTTGAGTGCTTCAACAATGTGTGGAGTCTTTCTTTTTATTTTTTTTTCAGGTTTTCTTGAGACATTAACTTTTACATCGGTTTGGATGTATGGATTTGTCATTAGGGAAAGGTTATTAATCAACTAACCTGCAGGAAATGCAGGCAATCAGTTTGTCTATAGAAGTTTAGGGTGTGAATTTTCTCTAATATACATATTTTTCATTTTAAATCCAAAACTATTCATAATTGTTTTAAAAAAATATTGTGCAGTTCAAATGGCACAATATAATTCATTAAATAAGAAATAGATTTTTATCTAATTATTTTTATTTTAGTATTTAAATCTTATTTTACAATCTACACTATAAAATACAAAATTCATTGTTTTATATAATTCCATGGTCATATGGGCTCCAAACATGGCTATGATTTTGTAGAATTTAATTGTTGCATGTCCTAACACTAGAAGGACTGCAATAGTACTAACTGCTTTAATGAGTCAAATTAAATGGTAACTAATATAATCAAGTGAATTGGACAAATAAATGCCCTCAAGAGTACAGATTTATCAGAAAGGATGCAATAAGGGGGGAAATGCTCTCAATTCAAGGCACATTTAATTGTCCTGTAACAGCTTGCAAATTAATTCTTGTGATGACAAAATTTTCTTGTGAGTTAGCCTGTCCTCCTTCAATGTGTTTGGAATTTGATCACATTGACTTGTTGGATTTTATTGCCCCCAATCCATTCCCCCTTCTGACACCAGAAATCTCCCCTTCTCTCAAATCTTATCCTGTTCAAATTCGTTGACATTACTTTTGAAATTATTTTACCATATCCAATAGAAAAAAAAAAAAAAAATCTTTTTAGAGACTAAATCAATCCTACACAGCAAAAAATCTATTACTTGTGCCCTCTTAATACTTTTTTTAATACACTAAGTGATAAATTATATAATAAAAATAATTTTTTTTTTTTCAAATCCCTTTCTAACCATCTCAAAATTTGTATTTTGCTCTCAACAGTTTCACATTTGTAGTTGGGAACTGTAAATCTCATCTTCGATTTTCTCGAATCAGAGTTAAGAGTTGCACTTGCAATCTAAGTACATCCCAATTCTTTCGACGTGGTTGGTGGATTATTGGGCAGTTCAAGGCCAGTCCAGAAAGATGTTTATTTCGTTGGCCGAAAAAGGCCAGTCCAGAAAGGCCCGTTTATGTGCTTACTCTTTGGGCTCCTTTCCCTTGGCTACATCTCTATTCTCTAACGTGTGAATGAATGAATCGTTCAATGTGTTTGAGTTTATTTATCCTAATTCCAAAAATGAAAGAAAAGAAGTGCAATTTCCTTTTTTAAAAATTGCATTTAGGCGTGTAATTTAATCGGTTTTTGTTTTGATATTTTGAGAAGAGCAATCACTTGTTAACTCCAATAAAATAGATTAAATACCATAAATAATAAGTAATAACAATGATCAATTGTTTGATTTCATTTATTAATTATCAGTTGTATTTGAATAACTAATTCAAACACCTCATTTATAGGCAAGCTATATATTTCTCTATTTTTTTATTTTTTTATGCATTTGAGTGTGTATTTGTTCCTACTTTCTATTGTAGTTCATCATTAACTACAAGATTAATCGTACTTTCTCAAAATTAAATTTGCAAGTGCTATGGTCTCTTTTCATAACTATTCCAAGTATAGTTAGAAGAGTTCTAATCCTTGTACTTTCAACATAAAAAATCCCAACCCATCAACCTCAAACTTATTGCCCAAGTATCAAATTTTAGGGTTAAGAACATTCGAAATTTCTTTCTTGGTAATTGCTAGAACAAGTAAATGGTGTTTGGTCGAGCTTAGAAAGCAATTTGTTTAAAAAACAGAATCTTTTATCACAAATTTAAAAATTTTTAAAAGAAAATTCAAAAATTGACTTATAAATATAATTTTTAAATAATTTTTGAAAAA